CAATGAAGCCATGATACAAATCCTAGCATCTCATTAAGGTTAGCAGTCAGAGAAATGTCTGGGCAAAACAAAGTCTCTTCAGGTGTCGATGGAAATGCTCCATGCTGAGCCCCCAACAACTGAAGAATGGAGAAATGGATTGGCAGAATATGTTGTGATGGCAAAGTTGACGAGTTTTGTAGACAAAAGATTGTTAGCGGATAAATGGAATTTTACTGTGCTTAGCTTGATCAGTGGGATCTGAGAAGTTTAGAAAAAAAGGGAAGCAGTGGAGGATTGGAACTGATTGGAGGATTTGTTGTTGTATAGATTTATTATTCTTTTTCTGTGAAACTCTCATGGAGTGTTGAAAGACAAGAAGATTTGCGGGGCTGATTGTATTGGTTGGAATTCCCTTGGTGATGTTGCCGATGTTAGCTTGCTTTGTTCACCATAGTTGCTTTGTTTCACATTTTTTCTGTCTATCTGTTTATGTTAAGAAATTAAAAATTAATCAAAAAAGAAGGCAGGCAGGCTGGCAGGCTCCACACCGGCAGCCATCTGGATCCCCAAAGGGAATCACTTCACATGGTGAGCACCACCCATGAGCAGTCCCTCTTCTGCACCTTGGCCAAATCAATGTCAGCAGCTGCAGAATGGGCAGCAAGCCTTCCCCCAGGAGACGGCATCTTCTCAGATGCTGCTGTCCTCCACTGCTTGGGGCACTGGCATCAGCAGGAGATTTGTTTTCAGCTTCAAAGAACAGCTTCAAAATAACCACACGAGGGGAGAGCAGCTTAAACTTCCTCTCTTCACCTGCTTCGGTTTGATGACAATCCCCCTGCAGCTCCTGCTGGTTGTAGCTTAAAAACAAACAAACAAACAAAAACAAGCCCACAAAATGCACAGATCCACTTAACATAGTATCTAATTGGCCCTTGGATAGCTCCAGAGTCATAGGGCAAGGCATGATCGCATCAGGTACACCATTATTACGCTGATGTTTCCTGGAAACAAGCCCATCAAGAGCATGAGTAATGACGGTGTCTTTGAGCAGTGCCCATGTTCCTGCATCACAGGTCCAATGTAAACGTGTGCATGCGCAAGCCAGTCACCCCCACAATTACATTCCTACTCTAGCACTCCGGTGTATCTGCTGCAGTAGTGACTCTGTTTATCACAGAGCTGCTCTGAGATCATGGCAGAAGTTAAGTGAGATTTGCAATTAAAAACCAGGACATTCTTCATTATACCTGGTCGGAACAATGACCCATCTTGCATGGTCCATTCCCAAAGGCCATGAGGCTGGGTGGCTCCTTCCAGTATCACCTCCAGCACGGCTCTTTGCTTCTCCTTGCCCTTTCTCGCTCTGTGCAGGAGCTGCTCGGTCTCCGCAGCAACTCCCTGCTGTGCCCTTGGACCGCTTTCATGCTGGACCAGCTGCTGCAATTGGGCTACTGGTGGAGGCTTCAGGTGGGGCATCAGGAGACGTGCCCCTCATCCACTGTAAGGTGCTGGGAGGTGTGCATCATAGAATCCTAGAATAGTAGAGTTGGAAGGGGCCCTGAAGGCCATCGAGTCCAACCCCCTGCTATTGCAGGGCAACAAGTTACACCATCCCACTTGGATAGAATCCTAGAATAGCAGAGTTGGAAGGGGCCATGAAGGCCATGAAGGAGAACATAGAACCAATCAGCCAATCAGAAGGAGCCCAGGAGGCAGAGTACAAGATGATTGACTAGCTGGTATGCTGCAGAGCCACTGGAGGCAGAGGGGAGAGTGAAACTGTGGGGCAGAGCAAGGGCAACGTGAACCTCTGCCAGGAGGGGTCCCAGCCACGGTACCTGGAGCCATGCGGCTCCTGTTGAAAAACAGCAATGACCACTTTGAACTGGCATGGATTTTCCAACATCCCTAGTCAAAGACCCTTCTCATCACTTGATTCTTTTTACTGGGGATGCTGAGAATGGGAGTTGGGTTCTCCTGTGGAGAGGTGGGTGAATAAGTGCTACTCGAGATTACCAGGATTCTCCCATTGCTGCCTTGCCATTCGTCTCATGCCCAGTTCCCATTTGCAATCTTGCCTTGCTCTGTGCAAGCAGGAAACGTTCCCAAAAGGAACTATAATCAGATGGGAGATTTATACAAGCACCTGCAACTTTGCACCATTTTCCTATTTTTGCTATGACTTTCCTCCATAGACTAAAGTGGGACTAATTCAGCTTATTGAGGCAATTTGTGCAGATTAGGAAATTTGCATACATCAAATGGGGAATTGAGAACAAGATGAGCGTGAGCAAGTGTTTGACAATTTGCGAATAATTTTGGCGGACACATGTCTGCATCTGGAGCCTTGAATGGGGCACGCTTCCATGTTTTGTGATGAAAAATGCAATGATCTTGCCTCCCTGCTTTTGCTTGCAAAGAATATACTCTTCCACCGAACAATGCTCCCCTTTTCAGCCACTGGGCTACTGCAGATCAAGAAGGACCACTGGGTTCTCCCACGAGCTCCTCCAATTAAGCAACCTGCCCCATCTGTCTCCATTCTGCTGAGCAGAGATTGCGCCTTCCCTCCACAGAGTGAGCTCTATCCCACCCATTAGGATGCCTGCATGACCTCCGACTGACAAGATTCATGAGCCCTCTGATGACCCGGATGGTCACTGCTGGCTTTTAACTCACACAATCGCCTCCCCTGCATGATCTCTGAAGCTCTGAGCCGTAGCTTCAACCTGTCTTCACCAGCAAGATGCCAGGGGATGTTTTGAAGTATGGTTGGCTGGTTTTCAAATATTCGGAAGTGAGAGCAGGCAGCTAAGGGCAGCTGGCACAGCTGGAGCAGCTAGGAAGAATGACTCCTTAACTCAACCTTGCAGATAAAGTTTCAGCCAAGGGCGAAACACACACATGTGCATGTACACACACACACACACACACACACACACACACACACACACGTCTAGTGGCCGGCATTCTGTGCCTCCTTCTACTTTGAACTTAAGGGTTCCCAGCTTCCGAGATCCGGGGGAGAGCAGCTCTCAGTCCCTTGCAAAAGGTGCGCTTCATAGGAACATCAGAGCATGCCTTGTACTGAGGCAAGCCGTTGGCCAAACCACCTCAGCATTGCAACACTGACCGGCTGCAGCTCTCCAGATTTCCAGGCAGCGGTCTTTCGCAGTCCTGCCTACAGATCCAGGGGTCAAACCTGCAGTCTTCTACAACGTAGCTTAAGTTTCAGGCTTAGAGAGGGCAAGGCCCAGCGCTGGTTCTGAGCTATGCAGAGCTGGAAGGCAGCATTCTCTCTCCTGTACCAACCAAGAAAATGGAGGCCACCAAGGAGCTGCCCCCCTGGCGGCCCAGGAAGTACATCCTGGCAAGGGGAAGACCAGCCTGGACCCATACACTGGCTGGACAAGGACCAGCTGCTAGGGCCTTGCGGCTCTCCTCCCTGCGGTAGAAGAGTGCTGTGAACAGAACTAGTGTCTGAGTTTTTCCTCCTCCCTCCCAACTCCTTTTCCTTTATGCATCCCTTAGATTGTAAGATCCTATGGCCTGTCTTTTTCTCGATCATTGTAAACCACTCTCAACTCTTCCTCTTCCAAGCCCTTTTCAGCAAAATGATGTGGTATAAATGCTACAAGTGGGCCAGATAGGTGGAATTCAAACACCAGAAACTTGTGATATTGTATGTTCCTATACCACTTTTGGCAAACCTTCATCCTTTAATTTTATTATATGCTGTATTTATATACATGCATTTATTATATTTCTATCTCGCCCTTTTCCTATAAGGAACCTAAGGCAGCTCACACGATCCCCCTGCTTCTCTCCATTGCATTCTCTTATCAGGGAGGGTTAGGCTGAGAGCCAGTGACTGGGTCAGTCACCCATGAGCTTCACGGGCAAGTGGGGACTTGCATCCTTATCTATTGCACCCCAGGCTGACACACTAACCACTAGGCCATGCTGGCTTATTTATCCATTCTCAGGATTGCTTTATTTCTTTATTATTTATTTGCAGCATGTAGTCATCACACTAAACAGATTCAGGAGTGGTTAACAATAAAACATACAAAGAATAAAATGCAACAGGATTTTAAATTTTTCTTTTGGTTTTTTGGAATAAAATAAAATTAATTTTATTTAATTTTAGAGAAGGCTTGTTGTGTTCAGGAGGTGCTGGAAACAAAGCAACATTGGTGCCTGCCTGACATCCAGAGGCAGAGACTTCACGGAAAGGGAGCTACCACAAGGAAGGCTATGCTCTGGAGGGATTCTGAGTCAGTCATCAGTCCAGGCAGCACCACCAGGAGTGTCTCATCTTAGGACCCCATAAACTAACCATTTAAAATGGGGCTGAAGTCAGCAGCACAACACCTGCCCGACAGTCTCGTGTGTGAGAATCTTCCATAGCTTTTATTGGTTGAGCACTCTGTGTGTACTCAGAGCAAGGTGGCAGGAAATGTCCATTTGTCTCAGGATGTGTGTTCCAGCAAAAAAGCCCGCAGAGAAGAACATCACATCTCACCTTCTGCAGGTGCATTTCAAACAGGTGGTTCCTGGGCAACAGCCACCATTCGCACCTGGTCAGATTTTCAGGTCTTCTTCAGAGATTTGCAGTGTCCCCTCCTTTGGTCTCCTGGCCTACCTGCAGCATCTTCATGCAGGAGCATCTCTTTCTATCGTGCTCCTGGACATCCTGGAAAGTCTCCATCATAACCAGGTTACAAAGGCTGGATGGATGCAGCCTCAAAAGGAATAATTGTAATCTGGGCATGATCAACACCTCCTGCACGTTGAGAGCTTGGAGCTGGGCCATGCATAATCTTTACATTAATTATATCATTACAGTTTAATTGTAGCAATTACTATTCCTTTCAGTTTCTCAGACACCATCAGCTGTCATTACGTAGCCTTCCAGTTTAAGTAAACATGATCACTCATGCTGCCAGTTCACCAGCCAGCAACGGCAGTGTATCTGCAGCCCTTGACGCAAGCCCTCGCCTCCAGCACAAACATTTGCTCTTCAAGCGGCCAGCAGGTATCAGCAGCTTCCTGGCCAGTGCGCACGATGGCAGGCCATGGGGAAGGGGATGTCATGGCAGTCTCCTTGGCCAAGGAGAGTCCAGAGGTGGTCTATCTTGCAGGGTTGTTGTGAGTATGAAACAGCATGAAGAGCAGGGCTTGTTTGTGGAGTGTGTGCATATATGTGCATGAACACATGCATATACATACACATATCGGTGTATGGCAGAAGATAAGGTTTCAATTGAGTCCATACTGTTGGTGGCTTAAAAGAAGTGTGTAAAATAAGTATGTGAGTGTGTGCATGTGTGCACAAGTACTGTGTGTTTACCACTTTCTACAGAAATGGGTTTTGTATGTACAGTAGCATATTTAAGACTTTTTCAGCTTTGTAAACACCCACTGACTTTCAGCTACTGGGCAGTATAAAAATGTCCCGAATGAATGGAAATTAAATGATCAATATCCACTTCATTAAGATGAGTGGACATTTACTTAATTGTGAGCTGGCAAAGGGTTAATGTGTTCAGTTTAGACTAGAGAGAGTTGAGACAGCACAAGAAAGGGGAAGAGAAGGACTAAGTCCAGCGGTGCCAGATGTTCCAGGAGTTTCTTTTTCCAAAACAAGAAACAATATTTTATCTCAAAGTCAGCAAAGCCTAGTAGCTTTCATCTGTGCCAGTAGCAGGTCTTTTATAAGAGTGTTAAGCTCTTATTATTAAGGCTTCGGGAACTTTGTGGGATGTGGGGTGGGGGGCAGTAACAGAGAAAGCATTTGGAAGAGAAGCCGTTCGAGAGGGGACTGGCAACTGGGAAACGAGGCCTTGTTGCCTTCAGGCCCTGCTTGAATTTATTTATTTATTTACATGTATTTATAGGCCGCCTATAATTGCCAAGGCCTTCCTAGGCGGCTTGCAGTGCATAAAACACATTAACAGAGTAAAACACATTAAAACCAATTAAAACATAATGAATTAAACATCTATAAAAGCAATTAAAAGCATCACAGCATGCAGGCTAAATGTTAAAAAAAATCAAAAAAGATATGCGGGAGGGCCTAAAAAGGGTGGGATATATTTAGAGGAAAGCCTAAAAGGGATTATGGCTCTCTGCTAAATACTGGGGAATCTTGGGACTGCATACATGTGTGAAGGGGCAGCAGCCACTAGGCAGTTGAAGTCCGTGCTCTGAGGCCAGAAAGAAGCCATTCATTCGAAGAATCCCTCGCTTATTACGTGCTAGAGCTATGCTGGGGGTGGACATAAGCTGTTATGCAGAAGGATTTCAGAGTGGCTCCTATATGGTCAGTATAATCGGGCAGTTCCTATCGGGTTATATCTCAAAGGTCATGGCCCACAAGGAAAATGCAGTGGGGAGGGAAGGGGGGTTATCCCCTGCTCCCTTCCTCGTCTCCCTCCCATACAACTTTGCTGGAATGGCTGCTTGAGATAGCTGGGATATTTCATCCAGGCCACCAGAAAGCCAAACCTTTCGATAGGCAAGGAAAGAACAAAGCAAAACCGGAAAACCTTCTTGCCTTCTTCTTTGCCTTTATCTACTGTTTGATCTGCAGATGCCAGTAGGTGAGCCTTTTAATGGCGTCGAGATAAGTGTTATCCCAAAGATCGGAATGCTGTCATGCTGTTTTTACATGAACTGGGGCCAATGAAAAAGTGAAAAGTAAGTTTTCAGAAATAACCTTGTAAAACTGAATTGTTTGCTAACTGGTTAAGATTCACTTTGAGCCTTCTCTGCAACTGAACTAGAACCCGATTTCCATTTTCCTTTTCTGCATAAAACCTTTGCATTTATCTAGCTGTGGGGGACCATTATCTGGCTGCAATCTTTAAAACATCGCCCTTCTCTCTTAAATAAGGGTCAATCACTGTGCTGTCTGCAGGGGCTCTCTGAACGCTTGGAAAGTGCTTGTTGCTTTTCCTACCCTTTCCAAAGCAAACACACAAAATATTCTTCTCATTTGCAAACATTTTTAATTGCAGTTTACAAATTATGAAGCTGCAAACGCAAGACTGGAGGTTTCTTTGTGCCAGCAATGGTTCCAGTGAGAATTCTCCTTATTGCCACTATCGAATTCATTAGAAACTTGCTAACACAAACATACTTTCTCTTGCTGTTCGGCTGATGTTGTCACTGTGTGTAGAAAAGCACTGCTTTGAATATTCGTAATGCATTCCGGCAGAGGAGCTTGCTTTGAAAGAGGCTCCCAAGGAAAGCAGCGATTACCGAACTTAAGTTGTCACGATAAGTTGCCCAGTGATGAACATTTATGCCACACATTACCAGCTTTATAACTGCTATTGTTCTGTGACAGTGGTTACCCGCTGTACAGATAATGGCAGAACAAACTCCATATTCCAGTTGACATCCTTTCTAATTACATCTCACCTTCATTAGGCTATTAAAGTGATAAATGCTAGCAATTACATTGAACCCTAGCGAAAACACTCCATCTGTGGCACGTACTGACTATCACATGAGTTATGTACTCCGGAGCTCCACACGGAGTTCTGCCAATGCGGGGGAAGCAAACGCACAAACAAAACAGACGCTCGGCTGATAAAATGGTTGATGACTCCAGATTTCATGGCTGAGGTCAAGCCGGGCTTCTCCTTCAGACTCATCAGTCCACTGGTGTCAGTTCAGATTCTTTTCCTTGTAATTAACCCTGAATAAAAAGTGCTTGGGAGGAATGCCTGCTAAAGGAGTTTGAACTTTAACTCTGAGTTCAAAAGCTGCTGCATATGTATGCTCAGGCTATAAAACAAAAAGTCAACCAACAATCCAGGACTATAGTTGGAGCAGTTGTTGACTCAAGGAAGGAGCTGCAGCAGACACCAGCTCAGGCACCCACCTCAGCAGAATTAGCAGGGCGGCAAGGGGGCTAAGCACATCGAGACTGACTTCCCACATTTTGATGGAGGTGAAGAGAAGTGCACCCTGCCTGAAGATCGTTGCAGCCGGAATCTTCCATTAACTAAGGGTAGCTCTGCTCAGGTGTGATTCATCCACCTCTTGGTACTTCTCACAAGCGGCCATGCTCCATTTTTCATCATGGAGTGACAGCAGAAGGCCGCTTGAAGAGCAATGGTTACAGGTAAGCAACCTGTCTTCCTTGTTGGGTGCATAACTATGGAAAAGTTTCCTCACTGCTAGAGCAATACGACTTTGGAACCAGTTGCCAAGAGAGGTGGTGGGCTCTCCCACACTGGAGGCATTCAAGATGAAACTGGAGAGTCATCTGCGTGGGATGGTGTGGCTTGGCATCCTGCACGAGCAGAGAGTTGGACCTGATGGCCTTCTGGCCCCTTCTAAATCTACTGTTCCATTCTATGAAAGACACCAGGCTGTACATCAAGGTAGGCAACTTGTGGCTCTCCTTTGGCTTACAATTTCCCTCAGGTCTAACAAGCTTATTTATTTATTTTTATTTATTAAAACATTTTTATGCCGCCCCATTCGCCGAAGCCTCAGGGCAGCTCACAACACAAAATAAAATACAATAAAATACAAAAATAACAATATAAAATTAACAATATAAAATAAATAACAATATAATATAAAATATCCAGATATTGAGAGCTGTAGGCCCACAATATCTGGATGACTGCCCAGCTGCCCACTTATGCTGCACATTTATACAGTTTGACATTCTCACACATGCACTTCTTCTCTGTGAGACTTCAAGATGGGACAGTATTCCCACATCCTTGAGCTAGGCCCTGTGTCCTTTCTGAGGAGAGCTATGATAGCGCTTTTCAAGGACTGGAAAGGCTGTCATACACAGGAGTACTGGGATCTCTTCTCAGTCATCCCAGAGTGCAGGACGCAGAAGAACAGGCTCAAGTTACAAGCCAGATTCCACCTGGACATCAGGAAATCTTCCTCTTACAGCAGCGTGACAATGGGGCCAATTCCCTAGGAAGTTGGTGGGCTCTCCCACCCTGGAGGGATTCAAAATCAGCTAAGCAGCTATCTTAAGAGGGATGCTTTGACTTGGAATCCTGCAGGGAGCAGGGGGTTGGGCCCTTGCAACTGTACTCTTCTATGCTTCTATGAATCTTCCGGTGCTTGTCATCACATACGATGACCACATCACTCTGGACTGAACTCTGGATCTGCATGGCCCCAAACCCGTGCGCACAATGTGGCTGTGTGAGTCAGTCCCATACTAATGACCATATTAGACTAAAAAGTTTGAGGGCCAGAAAGAAGGATCTGGGACCATGCCTTGCTACTCTGAAGTATGTCAGATCCAAATAAAAATAATGTTGTGAGGGAGGACTCAGAGCCAAAGTTTTGCTGGACAGAGAGGCGCAGTGTTCCTGAAAAGTTGATTTCATGTCATTGCATTAGCAGGGAATCTGGTGCATGGTGATTCCTGCGTTAACATACTAATGAAGGAAGGGAGCAGATGCTGAGAGATGGCTGATAGCCCAGTTGAGAATAAGAAAGGCCCTATTCTCAGCAACAAAGGCACTATATCAGCTGCTTGCCTAATGCACAAACAACTGACAAATTGAGCTTAAAGACCATAACTAAGGGCAATCAGCAGAAGTACATTAGGAAACTGCTTCTGCTGCAATTTCTCTTGAAGGAGACCATTAAGGCAACTGGGAAGGCCTCATCTTCAGTAGAATTATTTACCTGATCTGATCTTTTTCCTTCCCTTATTCTGTGCATGAGAACAGTTGACAGCTTGGTTGATTACCTCCAGCTAAGACCAGAGAAAGATAGGAATCTTAGGAATGCTATAAACATACACATAGGCCTTTCCCAGCTTTAGCCAGTGTCCCTACACTGGCATGCATCCTTTATAGGGGAGCCTATACAAGGCCCTTCAAGGCTTGAGACTGCAATAGCTTGTGAGAACCAGTGTGGTACAGTGGTTAAGGGCACAGGTCTGAGACTCCGGTGATCTGGGATCTAATCCCTACTTTGGGTCAGCCGCAGACTCTCGGCTCAGCCTACCTCACAAGGGTGGTGTTGTGGGTATAAGATGAGAGTAGTAGGAGGTAAATGATGTAAGCTGTTTGGAGTTCTTTAAAAAAAGATGGAATATAAACCTACTAAATTAAAAACATTCCTCCCAAGCACAATCTAGTTGGATGCTGTGCTCAGCAACCAAAAGGAGGCTCAGCTGATAGCAAGGAAGAGGCCCAGCCCTCTGTTTATGGACTGAGCTCTCCACTCAGGTCTGTCCAGTGTCAGCTCTACCCTCTTTTCTCTGCTTGGTTAAGGCTGCCCTTTAGGCTGAGACATTTATCAGCTCTAAATAGCACATGGGAAGCCTAGTTGTATTGACCTATCTCAGTTAAGTTGTTTAAATTCAGTTTTTAAATGTCCATACTGAAATATATGTTGTTGTTAGTCGCGAAGTCATGTCCGACACATCGCGACCCCATGGACAACATTCCTCCAGGCCTTCCTGTCCTCCACCATCCCCCAGGGTCCAACTAAGCTCACACGGACTGCTTCAGTGACTCCATCTAGCCATCTCATCCTCTGCCGTCCCCTTCTTCTTTTGCCATCTAGTCTTCCCAGCATTAGACTCTTCTCCAGGGAGTCCTTCCTTCTCATTAGGTGGCCAAAGTATTTGAGTTTCATCTTCAGCATCTGGCCTTCTAAAGAGCAGTCAGAGTAGATCTCCTCTAGGAGAATTTGTTGAGTTTTCCAAATTTGCTGGCATATTGAGTGTAGCATTTTTACTGCATCGTCTTTTAGGATTTTGAATAGCTCAGCTTGAATATTGTTGCCTCCACTAGCTTTGTTGTTGCTCAGACTTCCTAAGGCCCATTTGACTTCACATTCCAGGATGTCTGGCTCGAGGTCAGTGACCACCCCATCAGGGACGTTAAGCTCTTTCTTGTATAGTTCTGTGTAATCTTGCCACCTCTTCTTAATCTCTTCTGCCTCTGTTAGGTCCCTGCCATTTTGGTCCTTTATCATGCCCATCTTTGCATGAAACGTTCCCTTCATATCTCCAATTTTCTTGAAGAGATCTCTGGTCCTCCTATTCTATTGTTTTCTTCTATTTCCTTGCACTGTTCATTGAAGAAGGCATTCTTATCTCTTCTAGCTATTCTCTGGAATTCTGCATTCAATTGGGTGTATCTTTTTCTTTCTCCCTTGCCTTTTGCTTCCTTTCTTTCCTCAGCTATTTGTAAAGCTTCCTCAGGCAGCCATTTTGCTTTCTTGCATTTCTTTTTCTTTGGGATGGCTTTAGTTGCTGCCTCTTGTACAATGTTGCGAACCTCCGTCCATAGTTCTTCAGGCACTCTGTCTATCAGCTCTAATTCCTTAAATCTGTTTGTCACCTCTACTGTATATTCATCAGGGATATGATTTAGGTCATACCTGAGTGGCCTGGTGCTTTTCCCTACTTTCTTCAACTTAAGCCTAAATTTTGCAACGAGAAGCTCATGATCTGAACCACAGTCAGCTCCTGGTCTAGTTTATACTGAATGTATAGAGCTTCTCCATCTTTGGCTGCAGAGCACATAGTCAATCTGATTTCTGTGTTGACCATCTGGTGATGTCCATGTGTAGAGTCATCTCTTGGGTTGTTGGAAAAGAGTGTTTGCTACGACCATCGTATTCTTTTCACAAAATTCTACCAGCCTGTGCCCTGCTTCATTTTGTACTCCAAGGCCAAACTTACCTGTTATTCTGGTTATCTTTTGGCTTCCCACTTTAGCATTCCAATCCCCCATGATGATAAGGACATCATTTTTTGGAGTTAATTCTAGAAGGTGTTGTAGGCCTTCATAGAACTGGTCAACTTCAGCCTCTTCAGCACCAGTGGTTCGGGCATAGACTTGGACTATTGAGATGTTGAATGGTTTGCCTTTTATTTGAACTGAGATCATTCTGTCATTTTGGAGACTGTATCCCAGTACTGCTTTTCCTACTCTTTTACTGACTATGAAGGGTAGGATGTCTTAATTGCTATGAGTAGTTTAAACCCTAATTTCTAATGCTGCATCAATTGGTGTACCACCCAGAGAGCTCTGGTCAGTATGTAAATTAGATAGATAGATAGATAGATAGATAGGTAGATGAGATTGATTCCTAAATGCTTCTCTGTTCGAAATCCTCTGCTTTCTTCTCCCCTACTCCTGTCACTTTCCTTTGCAGACTAAAAAAAAGTCTTGAAGGTTCATTACACGCACCTGTCTGTGCGATGTGTAGTTTGCCCCTAGCACAGCCTCTTCAACATGACCTGTAAAACAAAGGGATTGTGTCATACATGAATGCAGCAGGAGCCACGTAATGGGACAGAACACCTCTTCCTTCTTGGGGGAAGAGCCCCAGGTGAATAATTTATAATGAGAAGCTTGCCCAGGAAAGTTCACCTTTCATTCAACATTTGCTGTTTTGACCCTCTTCCTGTTCAAGCGTCTCCTTCTTGATGTGCATTTGCTTTGTTCTCCCATCTGCATTCATTGGTATGTCCTTGCCTTTTTTCTGATGTGGTAACCTCTTTGGGAATCACAAACCATGAAAAGCTGCAAGTTAGAGCTGGAGGGGGAAAGCCATTAAGGAAGCCAAAGATCCAGTAAGAAGAGCCTTCACCTCAAGTTTAGAGGACTACTACCTGCAGTTCAGGCAACTCCACACAGAATTGCTGCCCTGCTCCCAAACAGACAGAATTTGTTAGGCTGCAGGGACCGAAGATGCTCTGCCATCCATCTTAACATTTCAAGATGGAAACACCTGTCTTAAAAGAGCAGACAGTTTGGTATAAAACAGAGTAAAATAATGCATAAAATCAAGGAAGAGAACATCGCCCTTCTAGGAAAGCTTGTTGGAACAAGTATGTTTTCAGCAGATGCCAAAAAATCCAAAAGGGTTGGTAGCTGTCCAAGTTGTTTTTGAACACTAAACCTTTGGCAAAACTCTTGTGCCAATGTAGAAATAAGCTACCTTGAAAATATTCATCCTAGAGAATACTTATTGGCTGTCCATACCTTTTTCTTAAGTTACAACTTTCACCAAAAAGTATGATGTAATACATGCAAAGTATTAAGATATGCTCCAATATTAAGCTTGAATCACTAAGATTCTAACAAAGGCATTCATGCTGACATGTTGTAACAGTTCATTGTCCCTCAGCCTGCTGTTTTTAAAGTGACATGGGAAAACCAAACGTTTCCTTTCTGAATCAGGAAAAATCAAGATGTGCAACCAATAAGAAATTTGAAGGAAGGATAACTTCTTTCATTACTTCTTGTTCATATGCTCATGGTGTAAATAACTAAAGATGATGTGAAATATTGTAAGAAGTAAATAGAACTGAAAAACACTACAGATTTTTTAAAAAGCAAAACAATAGACCTGCAAAAGATTCAGATGGTAT